ATAACATATTTCAATTTATTTCCTTTAAGATATCTTGCTGTGTTTAAAGGGATGCTTTTCTTCTCTTTTGTCCTGTTTTTAGGCTTGATAAATCAGGGAACTTCCAATTAAGTTATTCTTGACTCACACCAGTGGTAAGAAGAAGGAGAAGCAAGTTCTTCATGTTTGATGTTACATTGTTGCCAGATGTTTTACTGGTGGAAATCCATAGCTCCATAGGCACCAATTTCTTCAGGATCTGGGATGTCTGGCCCAATTTCTGTCTTCATTCTGGAGGCTCTGTGAAAAAAAAAAAACACTTTATTTTGCAATATTGAATATTCATGCTTGGCAGTTATAAGCAAAAACAAAATAATGAGAGATGAGGTCTCTAATAAGCTTCCTGTCACATGAGGCTCTGGCTCTGTGGAAGCAGATGTGGTTGCTGACTTGTTTCCAAAATGTTGAGTGGTGATTAGATTCTATCATACTGATGTTATCTCTCTGTGATCTCATTCAATACGAGTAGTTCTGTAAATAGTGAAATCTTCTTTCCTATGGGTTTATATCTTGGATTTTGTTTCAGCATGGATCCTCTGATGCTTAATGGAGATTAAGTTCACATTTAGTTTATTTCTTAAGAGAAGGATAAATAATCTGTCTCCTTTACTTGGCTATTTTCACAAAACTTGCAGGAATTATATATCTGCAAGGCTCTGTCAAAGTTGACTGAGATTCCTTGAACATGTCCAAGAGTTATGTGGTGTGGACAAACATGAACATAAGTCTCATTTCCGTAGAAAAGCCAAAGATAGGAATGCATTTTTACTTGCTTGCTACCTGCTTAATTCTATCCTGCCTGTGTCTTTTTTTGTGACCGGTCATATGAGATGTGCTTTATTTGTAAAGCTGTGTGAACTCTGGGATATTTTATGCCTCATGGAATGCATATTAAAACATTCTTAATTTCAATCTGTTATGTGGCACACAGCAGCTTACATCCTTTTGCTATTGTCCTTGCTAGAGCATGGGGAGAAGATGCCATGCCTTTTAACTTGCATGTTTGCACAAGGAAATGCAGAGAAAACTGATTTTTGCTCCTCTAGAAGAAAGCCCAGCAATTCAGTTTTGGAGCAGGAAAAAAAAGGAAATGGAATTGAAAATGACCCCTTGAGTTGCTGAGTCCAGTCTTTTGCTTATGTAAGGAGCCAAGTTCCCAATCTTTTTCATAAATGGATTTTGCTATTCTAAAGTTTGGTCTTTCCTCCTTATTCTCTTTTATCCTCCCTGCTTCCTACTTTATTAGGGAGTTTCTTCCAGAATCTGCCTCTTTTCATAAGAAGAAACCCATCCTATGGTCCTTTATTCTTGTTCCAATAGTATCCTTTTGTTTGATTAGTTCTTTTCCAACTAACTGCAGTGAGACTGTGCATGTGCTCTGCTGTGCCAAGCTCAGTAAAGGAAGCAGGAGTCAGTCCAAATAGCCAGTTCTTCCCTTGTTTTGCTCATTCCTTAGCTTATTAGAGCACATTCTTATCACCTGTGTATGTTAAGTAGCATTTTTCATAATATGTCACATTAAGTAAGAAAAAAACTCCTGTGTACTATAGAGGTCAGTTTAACCTAGGGTCTAATAAAAATCCTTGAATATTTATTGCAGGGCAGACTTCACTGACAGCCTGGTCTTCAGAGTCAACTTTGTGAAACTTCTCCAAGTGCTTTTACTGGCTGAGAGGTGACATCAGTTATCTAGAAACCCTGAAGATCCTTCCTGAAGAGATGAACCCTGCAATCTGTGCCTGTGGGTACTAAATCGGCTTTTGACAAGTAAAGAACAATGCAGTCCCAGGGTTTTAGGAGTAGATGGTTGCTGCCAGACCACAAAAAATGCCTGAGCAATAACATAGCAATGGAGGGTGTGCCCTTGTCCATCATTCCCTCTGAGCAAATTCTTGGAGACACGTTACCAGGATTTAGATAGATTTCATGAAACTAGTAGAGAAACAGGCTTTTGTTTCCTGACAAAGGGAAGAAGAGATAATGGAACACAGCAAAACATGTGGCTTTTTTTTGGTCCCAACTGAGAGTTATACAAGCAAACCCCAGCGACCATCCTCAGACAGCGGCTGCCAAAGTGAGACTCTTCTGAGCAGATTAGCATTACCTTTCTCCTGTTGTGAGTTGAAAGCACCGCTTTACTTCCTTTGAAATAAGCAAAAGAAGCAAGTGGTAAGATGTCCTTCATACTTGGGTTTGTGCAACTTAATCAGAATGCTCCAGTCTTTAGTAGCAGTATCCTTGCCCTGATAGTTGCTCCTTTTGTCTTACATCCAGGGAAATAGTCATTTTTTCTCCTCCTGATAGATTTATATAGATCAAGCATGTGTCCTCTCTCTCCCTGTATTGCTAAATTAAAAAATCTCAGCTTTTCTCATATATATATATATATACAGCTACTGTGGTGGCCCATTCATGTGTACCTTTCTGAGTATATGTGACCAAATATGAACACCATTTGTACAAAGTCAGTTCCATCAGACTGGTAATTACAGCAAAAGGTAAAAGTTTTCCAAGTACTATTGCTTTCTGAGGATGAATTTTCAGCAAATTCTAATCAGGAGCCTTTAGGAGGATCTTGTCAGGCATCTAAAACTTCAGTCACCCAAAGAAGAATCTTGTCCTAAGTAAATCAAATAGGCTGGATCAATGCAAAAACATACACCTACACGGATAACTTATTCATAACACATGGATTAAACTTTGGGACTGTCTGGAGTAGTGGAATGTGGTATCTTTTATTCACATGTGTAATAGTGTCTGTGTTAGCATCAGGAGGAATAACTACAGATATGTGAGTTTCGGGTCGTGTTTCTAGCATCTCAGGAAAGACAACTTTTCAAAAAGGTAAACTGGTTTCCTGGGGACTTTCCACTGCACCAGTGAAGTAGTCCACCAGTACAGCCTTCTGAAAGGGGGAAATAATCACAAGTGCCCTCCAAAGCAAGGTATTCCAGTTGGGAAGTTGAGTGGTTTAAGATGTGATTTGACTTTAAGGGGTTCTAGATATTTTCTGGACGTTGCTTCCTGAAGTGTCTGCACATAGGCTGTCTTTGTATTTTAAGCTGAGCACACAGAAACACAGAACTGGTGGGCACTCTGCTGGCCTGCGTGACTTCCTCATAGTCACTTGGCAGCTCAGCAATAGGAACACAGTGATTCTTATGTCTATTGTGCCCATCAGAACAATGCTGAGAGCAACTGACACCAAAGGCCTGGCCTTGAAAATACATGACTTGAAAGAAAAGCTGCATTTTTTTTGGTAGGGTCCAAATGTGTTTCACTCAGTTTTGCTCTTATTCCCAAAGTTGGGTTGTAAACAAGGATGATTTTTATCCTGGAAGCCACACATCTGGACTGCAGTGCCTGTGACTGTTTTCATCATCACAGCACTTACTGGCTTCATAATATTCTGTGTGTGCAGGAAACAGTTTATAAGAGGTAAGATGATTTTATGGCTGAAGAGCTTGAATGTCTTAAATCACCAGAGGTTGCCATCTAGTCACAGCCATCAACCTTCTATGTACAACCCCAAAGTCTTAACATTCTGCATTTCCAGACAGGCAGATTTTTTTTGAGTCTTGCTGTTCCCTATCACATCTCCATGCTGGCTCTGGCAAGTTTAGGTTAACTGCCCAAAAAAAGAGGCACCATCCACTTTCATGGGACATGAATGTGAAGTTGTGTAGAGACAACCTATGGGCCTGAAGGTTTTTGTAGCCACACAGCAATAAAACCTTGAAAAGTAATTACTGTATAGCATAAATAAAACATCAGTAATGTAAGCTCTTATTAATGCTTCATGCCAAATCACAAAATAATTCTGTACCTGCATGGCTTTAAATAAGTCAAATAAGTTGGGTTGCTTCTTGTTGTTGTTTTTCCCCTCACTGCATAGTTGCTATATGGAGTCTGGATTTTGCCCTGTGGAGGCTGTGTGTATTTTAATGCATTAATATTGAAAATGCTCTATTCCTTAATGGCTCAGGAAAAAGACCTAGTCCCCTGTTCATTATTCCATCTTGTCCCCAAAGCCCTAACAATGCAGGTGCTATGGAGTTGTTTGAAGCTCCTCCAATAAATAAATGGATGTCAGTATAGATAACATGATTTTGTTTTTCATTCATCATTTCTTTAGCTATTTAGGTTTGTGTCAAACCTTTGCAAACTTTTCTTGTTTGAGCTAATTAATGTGAAATATATTGCAAATTTATCACTTTTTTCACTGCAAAATCAAGCAAGTCAAAGATCCACGAAATGATAATTGACTGTTTGAGAACAAAAAGGATATGTTTTAAAAAATATGTTTATTGCCTTATTATTAAATGCTACAGAAAAATGTTTTCCACAGCAAAACACAGAGAAGAACAGGGATGAGTGCAAAGCAGACAAATCAGAAAGTAAATTATCTGTGAAATCACTTGTTTTAATGCTACAGTGAACAATAATACAAGTTTGGAAATAGCTTTTCCTCCTCTGGAGGATGCAGCACTTTTATTTGTGCTCCTGCATAGGTCAAAGTGGCTGCATTATACTGAGATTTAGATTTTTTTTTCGACCAACAGAATGCTAAATGTTGTCACCAACAAATTTATTCTGTTGGAACTGAAGAAAATCCTAGCCTAGAAGAAAACCGCAACTTACTCTGTCTTGTCAAGATAACAGCTATGAAATGCGTTATCTTTAGATGCTTGGGCAGAAAGATAAGGAGAATTTGGAGCACTAAAATGCGTATTCCACACTGCAGCTGCTTCTCAGATCTCTTTTGCAATCAGTTTCTACTAACTTCCTACAGCATAACCTCTCCAAGAACAGAGCTAAAACGAACACTTTACTTAAATGCTTCAACAGAACTCCATAAATCTGAGATTTCTACTATATCTGAGCTTTCTACTGCTAGCACTTCTAGAAAAGGGATTCTGAAGTGAAGAAATGACTGATATCTCTATCTTCCTGCACCTCCGATGCCAAATGAAACCACAGTGCAACTACGTTACCCAAATTTGTGTGTGTGCAGCCAAGTCTCTGGCATCACAGTTCCTTTGGTGTCAGCACTTGGTTCTTTTGGTCAAGTCGTAAATTGTGCATTATTTTATTTGAAGCGTTTATAGACTGGCAAGTTCTTGTGAAGACCTGTTCACAGGCTAGTACAGTTTACAAAGCAAAAAATACTTTCTCTTCCCTGCTCAGTGTTTCTTTTAACATTATGAGATAATTGACATTTCTTCCCGGTCTCTGCTCTCGTTTAGTAAGTTGATAATGCTTCTAAAGTATTTCACAAATTCCATCCGAACATCTTCAGGATCTTCTTCTAAGTTGGAATGTATTAGTTTCAACTTGTTCAGTGGAGAAGCTTTGAAGTTAAATAAAAAATAAATAAGTTTATTCTGGGCAGAAAATAAGTATTTACGTTCAAGTCATGTGATAGATCATGCCAAAGTAAGCTGACATTCAGCAGTATCAATTTTTGATACCCCAGATGATGCGTTACATGTTAAGAAACACAACATTCCATTAGGAATTCTTATTTCTGGCACTGCTACATATTCTCTGTGTGGCCTTAGAAAAGTGACTCAATTTTTTTGTCTTTACTTTCCCTTTTGTAATCAGCGATATTGCTCACCTTCTAGATAGATGACTTCTAAGATTTAATCTTTTTGTTTTTGCAAAGCACTCTACCATTCTTACATTGACAAATTTAAATGAAGTTATATCACCAACTTCAAAGCTAAAGAGATCAATAAAAAGAAACTCCGGTGAGTTATAATTTACGTTTTTATCTCCTTACCCAAGGTCAGATTTTCGGTGTCCCCCGCGTGGCCTGGTTTGTGGTGTGCTACTAGAAGACACTGGCTGTCTTGCAGTGGCTGCTGCTGCACAAAGCAGGAGTACCACATTTCAATTTCTTTCAGGTGACTGGGCAGCTCGGGATTGAAGACAATCACTACACCATGGGAGTCCTTCATCAGAGCCGGCCAGCATGTTTCAAACCTTGAAAAAGGTGAAAGGAAAATGGTGAGATTGATAGCTTGAAAATTGGTCCTGCATTCAATCTTCCACAAGTTTTCATTTTCTCACCTAAAAAAGAGGCATTTCAATACTTTTTCCTTATTAAAAAAGCGTACTAGTGAGCTTACTAGTTTATATTTGTATAAAAGAAATATAAAGAGAAAGCAAATATTCTTCAATCTCTTTCAGTTATCAGTCAGTTATAGAACAGGGCTGTCTGTCTCCTGTATCTTCATTTTAGGAGCTATGGACTTAGTACTTATTCTTATCAAAAACAAACCTTGGTATCAGCTGGAATCATGGCAGAGAGGACCTTGCATCAGATGTTTTACAGTACAAAGGTACAAAAAATATGATGAGTAAAGAGAATAATTTCCATCTCAGGAAAATTATTGGCATTAGGTCTTGAGGATGAATATTCTGTGCAAATACAGCTATTAAGAGTTAAGTAGCTCAAAGGAAGTAAGGGAATGATGAAGCTGACTTACTTCTGATCACCACTGCAGTCCCACAGCTCAAATCGACACCCTGCTCCCTTGCTGCCTCCATTTAAGTTTGGCTTCTCATATTCCAGGATCCTGTGGCAACAAGTGGATAGAATAAAGCTCTCTGCACCGCATCAGAGCATGACACTGCCTGAGAGGCAGCCATTTGTCAGGGGTTTGCCTTGGTCAGCACGGCGTGGTTTTGCTCACCTTACACCTTGCGTCGGGACATAGCTGCCAATCCCTTCAACACTCTCTGAAACAAAGTTTGCCAAGACCGTTTTTCCAGACTGGCAGAAATGGGAGCAAAAGACACCCGTTAGGAATTTCACACGCCCAAGCAGGGCTGGACACGACTGCCAGTTCACCTGAGCACCCTGCTCCCTCCGGCCACAGGACTGCACGTGCAGACCTGGCCTCCCCCTTCCCGCACACCCGCACCCTGTCAGAGTAACTGCTCATTTTGGGGGTGCGACGTTCACATAGGGGCTCTGCCTGCGGCGGGCCGCAGGGACAGCGGGATGCGGGGAGGGTGGCTGAGGTAAAGGCATCCTCGGACACGGGCAGGGCCGGGGTAAGGGGCCGCCGGGCCGGGCCGCGCTCACCT